GAAGCACCGTTTGTGCGGAGGGTGGGGTGAGGGGTGGCTGGGAGAGCACGGTCTTCGCTCCTTCCAGATCCGCGGGGGGCGGGGGGGGGGGCCCGCGGGAGGGGGCGTGGTCCCCACGGAGCCCCCGGAGGAGGCACACAGACCGGGAGCCGGGCTCAGCTGAAGAGCAGAATGCAGATCCCAGCGCACCTAGGAACCCGGTCTCCATGTCAAGGGCGTCGGGCTCGTACTTGGGTTAAACTGGGCCCGGGAGCGGGTGCTTGGAGGCTCCCCTCGACTTCGGAAGTGGGTGCGAACTCGCTCCCGACTCCACGAAGCGTAGCCGAGGAGAAGCTCGTTCCTACGGACGGAGAGCACGCGCCTCTGTGATCATCCAGACGTGATCCGGGCTGAGGCTCCCTTGCCGCGAAAAGGGGCTCGCCAAGCACATCGGTGGCCGTTTCCTGGAGGGCACGGCCGGGTGTCCTCGCCGCCGTCCCCCTGCCGTCTCTAACAAGGCTCCGGGAGGAGACAGACTTGCAGAAACCTCTGGGAGCTCTCTCCAAGCTCTCGCAAGCTGTTTCGTTGGGGTGGGGGGCAGGCAGGAACTGACCCGTCCACTTAGCGCTCGCAGCCCGGGGTCAGAGCCACTTTTACTGGAAGGCCCCGCGACTCGGCCACGTCCCTGGGCGTCCGTCACCATGCTGGGGCTTCACGGCGACGCGGCCGGCAGGCGGAGCGTATTTCGAGGCCTGGGCCAGATCACGTGACCCCAGGGTCCCACAGCCGGGTCAAGGAGCAGCCGGCCGGGACTCATCCGCTCCACAGGCTGCCACAGGGCCCCCCCCCCCCCCCGTCCCTGGAGCCAGAGAGCCGGGCGCCTCGAGCAGCGATGCAGCCTCACCCGCTAACTGGTTCGAGTTCTGCACGTGGGGGGAGGGGAACGGCACGAACATAAAACACAAACGTCGAACGGGCCCCTGAGTTACTCGGTAGCCGCAAAGCCCGGGTGCCGAGTGCAGGAGCCAATGCCGGCGAGGTCCTGACTCCTTCCCTCGGGGCCAAGCGGTCAGCACAGGCACAGGGCCCCTCGGGAGCCGCACGCGCAGGCCGGACCACCGAGCGGGCACACGTCTCACCAGGAGCCCTCCAAGGACAAAGGGAAGAAAGGATGTGTAAGGGTCTCAGCTGCCGCAATGGCAGGCTGAATCTTCTAGATTCCCGTGAGGCCCTGGTGAAAGCTCTTGTTGGAAATGGTGGCACAGTGTCGCTTTGGTGACCGTCGAAGTCCGCCTCTCAGCTCTGTGACTGAAACGGCAGGCAGGATTCGGCCTCAGAGGGGGCCGGGTCCCCTCTGCCATCCAATCACCACCCTTACTTTGCAGGTGACACAATTCAGGCACAGCCAGCGGCCCTAGGGCCCTCGCTCCCTGGGGGACCCAGAGCTCGCGCTGCCGAGGTCCCTGCCAAGGCTTCCCGTCGGCCGTGACGCTTTGTACTAGACCAGGAAAGACTCGGCGTCCAGAAATTCTTCCCTTCCCCTCAACATCCTTGAAAAATCTGGTGTCTCTTAACCCGAGGTAGACAAACTGTAGGCTTGCGGCTGGAGTCACGGTTACCGGAGAAATGCTCGTCTTTTGGCGGGATGAACATTTCCTCCTTGCTCGGAGACACGTGAAACCCAGGGCCTCCCTGCGTGGCCGTGGACGCCGCTGAAAGGCTCTGACATTTTCCACCAAGGATGCGGAACAAAGGAGAGGTGGCGTCGAAGTCATGTTGTCGCTTCACGAACACTCGGTCCCCTGCACCCCCCACGGGAAGAGGCCAGCTCCCGGCCCCACCGATTCTGGGCTTTGGCCGCCGGGACACGAGCACGTCCACACGGAGGTCTGAACGCGCTTGCGTGGTTTGGCGGACCTCTTGTCCAGCGCTCTGCCGTGGGAAGAGCGTGCAGGGGAACCCATAGCCCAGAGCAGAGACGCCAGAACCCGCCACACACCCCAAATGACAACTGGCTCTGTGCACCAGCCACAGGGACAGCTGATCGCATCACAGGGGCAGAAGGGAGCAGGACCAGCCGGAAGAGGGGAGCACCTGCATGGGGCGCGCCCAGCTGAGACTCGCTGACTCACACCGGCGTGGCCTGTGCCCCCGCAGGTTCCCCCGAAGGGGCCCCCGTCTAGACAGGTCTGGTTGCAGACAACAGGCTTGGAACCGCCCGGAAAAAAACAGCAAAGATCATCTGTGCGTTTTACTGACCTGAGCTGTCTCGAATGCCGCGTCTGCAACCTAGCGGAGAGAGTTCGAACCAGAGAAGGACCCACGGCACCGTCGGCGATGTACCACGGAAGCTTCCAGGACGGGACAAGAGTACACAAACTTCAGGCTTTCCACGTTTCGGGGCAAGGCCGAGAGCAAGCCATTTAATTCAGAGCAGGTTTATTTCCCAAGGGCATCGCTGTGCACGATGTGATAAATCAAGGCTACAGACATTACATCACGGTCCACATTCTAATTTTGAAGAGGCATAAATTGTGAAATTAGGCTGGATTATGGGGGTTTTTTAATTATGCTTAAAATAGTTCATCTCAGTGAACTTGGAAAATGTATTTGTCCAAAGTACCTTCTTCCTCACTGATGCTTGGCAAAGGCTGTGTTCGGTCCAGCAGCAAAGGCTCTTCTCACCGAGTCTTTGATCTGGACTCCCGTCTTATGTCCCTGCTTTTGGGGAACGTGGCGGCTGTTCCCAGGGAGACGTCTAAAGGACTGTGAATGGCTTCTAGGTTTCACTGAGATGTTTCTCCCTCCTCTCCTTGAGGGCACAGAGTCCACAGACGGGCACCTCGTCGCTCCTGCAGCTCGGACCATCCACTACTGACATGTTGGGGCAGGTGACTCTCTGCGGGGGACGGTCCTGTGCATTGTTGGATGCTTACCTGCATCACAGGATGCTTCCACCAAGGGACAGCAGCGTCCCACAAACTGGGACAGCCTAACATACCTCTAGACGTTGCCAAATGTTCCTGAGGGACCAAATCACCCCTGGCTGAGAACCAAAATATATTGACATCTTGGAGCTACTTATCAGGCTGACTTAAGGGCCATGTTTCCCATTTTGGCCAATAAAAAAAACCTGTCTCAAAACACCCAGGGCAGGTTCCTAAAAACAGTTTTCTAGGGGCGCCTGGTCGGCTCAGTTGGTGGAGCATCTGCCTCTTGATTTTTGCTCAGGTCGCGATCCTGGGGTCATGGGATCGAGCCCTGAGTCTGGCTCCACACTGAGCATGGATCCTGCCTGAGATTCTCTCCCTCCCCCCTCTCTCTGTCAAGAAGAGAAAACCCCACAGATTTCTAGTCTCTACCCCAGATCTGCTTCACGAATTCCTGGCATCTCTGCCGAATGGAATGCCCGCACGGTTGGACAGTGTGACTGCTGGTTTGGTGACTGCAGCACTGGAAGACATGACAGGGCGGAGTCTTCCTTGGCCAGGGGTCCTTGTCATTCCCTGTATGGGAGGGAGATGGCAGGAGTGGAGACACATCAAGAAAGAGCACCTTCTATCCCCCTTCTGCTGTGTGCTGCCCGTCAGCACAGGACGGGCAGCTCCTGGGAGACAAGAGGGGGAACAGAGGTGAGCAGCACTTCCAGGCCGTTCTGGAGGGACCTGGGTGCTTTCATTCATTTTCAGGAGCGCTCGCCCCAAACGTGTGGTTTCCAAGATGCTTAGAACACCCAGCATGGGCTGGGAAGGAAATTGTATCAGGATGTTTTCTGCCACGACAAACAGAAAACTTACCAAAAAAAAAAAAAAAAAAAAAGGCAATGCACAATATATAAAACGATAAAGCTTAGTAATTATTCCGTGTGACCACCGTGCTGGTCGCATTGCAGCTCCGGGGTTACGGGTGTGAGACCCCAACGATGCTCTGAGGAAACCGGCTCTTTCTGCCACCTGCGGTGTGTGGCCTGTCCCCCCAGGACGCCCCTGCTGGAGGAGGACGCCCCTGCTGGAGGAAGAGCGGTCCAGGTACCGCTGTCGATGGCAATATCCAGAAAGCTGAAAGGGGGCACGGATACCGTGGCACCTCCTTCAGTCTTCGGTGACAGCCCGGCACAGAAGTCTGCCAGGGGTTCTGGCCCTCTTGGCCAGATTTCCTTACGACCGAAGTCGAAAGCCCCTCTGGCTGAGGGAAGGGAATTGGCTGGGGCAGACTTAGACCACCGTGATTCACCCCTGGGGCTGGGGAGGAGTCTCTGTGCCCCAGAACGTGAAACCAACCCGCACTTTCACCAAATTGGGGATCTCTAAGCAGGAGAGGACAAGGACAGTAGCCACACGGCCGGGGTGTGGTATAGAGACCAGCCTCCTTGCCGAGACCTGCTTCACATAGTCCCCCTGCCCCCAACCTCAGCGCATTCCCATTTCCGTACGTGGACGCTCCTCGTCTGGGAGAGTAAGTGATCTTCCCAGATGATATGCAGCTAGTAACTAAGGCAGAGCTAAGATGTGAGCTCGGGTCTGAGCAGCTGCAGATCCCACAGCAAAGTGTGGACCGACAGGCACGCGTTGCACGTGGGAAGGTACGCACGAGTTTGCTTTCATTTTGGTGATTATGGATTTCCTAGAAGAGGTGTCTCCAAAAAAACTAACGAGCGGATCAAACTCCCATAGATAGTATTGCTTTAGACTAGGGTTCGTTTGTAAAACTTAATTTTAAGAAAAATGCTGGATGAATAACAGAACGGTGACGCATGGATGTGAGAAAACGGGAAGCTGGCTCATGGGTACGTGCCAGCGAAGCTGAACGGTCTGCCTCCAGGACAGGAGCCATCCTGACGCCAGGTCCCAGAAGGACATGGCTAGGTGAGTCATTGTCTTTTTGTAAGTTTATTTATTTATTCTGAGAGATAGGGGGCCTGAATGGGGGAGGGGCAGGGGGAAAGGGAGAGAGAGAATCCCAAGCAGGCTCTGCACTGTCAGCACAGAGCCCGACGCGGGGCTCGAACTCCTGAACCATCAGATCGCGACCGGGGCTGAGATCAAGGGTCGGACGCTTAACCAACTGAGCCACCCAGGCACCTCTAAATAAGTCATTTTCAAGTCTCCGTAAGGGGGAAAGGCGAATGTGGGAATCCACCAATGGATCTGCACCCCAGGAGACAGTCTGCCCTCAGCGGATTCACCGTTCACAGAGATGCTGGATGTCGAGGGGACCAGGGACAAGGAAATCAGAGAGAGGCTAGACTGGTGGTCCTTTGAGAAAGTGACTTCTCTGACCTGGCGCTCAAAGGTGACCTTTTCCATGGGCCACTGCTCCTGGAGACACAGTCGTGGAGGTAATGACTCCAGTCGACTCTCCACTCTGCCTGGCCCAGGGCCCCATTTCCAGGACACAGAGCGACCTGGGAGGCTTTCTCCAGCAGCCCACGTACTCCGTCATCAGACCTGCGATGCGCTCAGGTCCCTCCGCTCCTTTCTCTCACTTGGGAAGCAGTTGAGCGAGGGCTACGATAGCCACATGCATAGTCACCCTCTGAACACGTATCCTGTGCCGTCTCATGTCTAACCCCAAACAGCTTCCGCGCCCCCACTTAGATTGTCGGGTTCCCTGGTTCACATCACGGGCTCCCGGGCCCGGGTTGGCTGTCCCCCGCGTGTGGGCGGACACGTCCCGTCTGCTGGGAGCCCTGGGCCCCCCAGCGTGGTGAGCACATCCGGGGAAGGTCCACGCCTGCAGGCCCACGTTCCAGGGACTCTGTTGAAGGCCGTACGTGAGGTCGGGTGGCGTGGGCCCAGGGGAGGGTGAGTTCCACGGCTCGGTGCGGATTCTGCCCCTCTCGGTCATTGACCGGCCACGTTACCTGTCACCGCACATCGTGCTCCTCTGTTGTGTTTTGCCGCATGGTACGCTGATTGGACTCCAAACAACAGCTGATTTTGGATGAAAACACTCTTGTATTTTCAGATGAAATAATATTAATTTGGACAGTGAGCATCTGATCAGAATTCCTTGTAAATATTTAGATCAAGCGCCTAGGGAAGAAAGAGACCCAGTTAATTGTAATTAATCGTGGATAATTCATTACTTACCGTACACATCTCGGCTGGAGCTCCATTGGGCTCAGAACCCTAAAGGGGCTGCAGACTCCGCGCTGAACCTGACTGGAGAAGGGTGTGCCTCGTCTGTGCTGCCTGACAATGACGGATGGAAACGCAGGGACGGCCCGCTCCCCCGGCCCCCACGGAGCGCGAAGGAGAACCAATCACCGTCGCGGGTGGGTTGTAATTCATCTTGAGATGCAGCTCCAAGCACAGAGGTGAACAAAGGACCAGCTGCACCGCCACAAAGTCTCCCCTCCGATCTTCCGTTTCTGCTGAGTCTTGACAAGGGCCGTCTCACGCCCAGACCTCCGCCCCCCTGCCCGCACCAGGCGGCCCCCGGGGGTGGTAGGACTGAGCAGAGTCGCCCGTCACCCTAGGGGCGCAGGCATCCGATCCATTAACGGCAGGAGTGACAGGTCTGAAGGGCATTGTCCCCAGCGGCTGAAGGAAGGAGGCCCCGGAGTGCGGTCACCGCATCAGTGGACGGCTGAGGGGAGGTCCGCAGCCGCTCAAAGGGGCCGTGGGGGGACGTGGGGGGACGCGGCCATGCTGCCCGGGAAGAGCCCAGGGGCCGAGGGGTCTTGCAGAGAGGTCTCAGGAGAGGGGGCGTGGTGTCACCTCAGGTGTGAAAGGGGGGCCCCGGGAACCACGGCTGGAGGGCTCGCCCAGAGGACCCCCAGAAACCCACCTCTGCCCTCAGCCCCCACGTAGCCTGTTGGCTCCGCCGTCGGCACTCGGCCGGGCCCCTCCCTCCAGCCCCCTGCGCAGGGTCCTGGCAACAGCCTTCGCCGGGTCTCCCCAGCTCCGTCTCCTCTTCTAGTCCACGCACACAGCCTCCCGTGACTACGATGCAAGCCTCCTCACCCTCTCCTCTTAAAAACCCTTCCATTCCTTCCGACCTCCTATACTAAGAAGGCCAAGCCCCCGGTTCAGGCTCACAGAGAAGGTCCCCGAACACCATGTCCCCCGCTGGGACCCCACCCTTCACCACCACTCCCTCCGCCCGGCAGCACCCGATTCTGAGTCACTACCCGGGGCTCACAAGCGCACCTTGTGTGGATTCGATCCTCCTTATTCGGGACTCCGCCCGTAACGTACAGATTTTCCAGCTCATCAAAGTCTGGTAGCAGCCGTGGGGTGAATACACACGGTGTTTCCGTGGTCGTTCTGGAGGAACACAGAGAGGCGACAAACTTGAGGGGTTGGCCCGTGTTCCCGGCTGAGATGAGCAAGATAACAGTCGCCTTCCTGTCCCAGCTCCCGTCCTGTAAGCCGGTGTCCTTTTGTGGCCTATCTAGTGCCACGTTTTCCACATTTTTGTGCTTTTTGTCCATAACTTCGCTGCTTTAAGTGGCCCCGTGTTAGGCTGGAGTACTGGCTGGTGTTCGGCCGTGCTGCCCCCGGATGGGGTGACACATTACTCTGCATGTTTCTATGAGGAGGTTTCTGGATGGAATTAATGTTCAAGCTGGTGGACTACAAGCGAAGCAGATTGCTCTCCCTGCTGTGGGTGGGCCTCGCCCAATCAGTGGAAGGCCTGAACAGAACAAAGACTGATCTCCCCCAAGCAGGAGGGGATTCTGCAGCAGACAGCAGGCAGACTTCAACCGCGGCACGGGGTTTCCTTGGGCCTCAGCTGATGGCAGGTTTTGGACTTGCCAGCCTCCGTAATCTTGTGAGCCGACTCCTTAAATATTATTCCGCATGTACGTGTGTGTGTGTGTGTGTGTGTGTGTGTGTGTGTGTACATCTCATCGGTTCTGTTTCTCTGGGAACACTGACTGCACTAACCCCGTGTTTCCCCCAGGGGCAACGGTTCAGCACGCCCCACGTCAGAATCGGTGGCCACTTCATGGAACACATCTACCGTGGACAGAGCAGTCAGCAGCCCTGTCCTCCCGGCGGCTGCCCTCCTCCCACTTGCTCGCCGGGTTGTGGTTTCTCAGGTCGTAGGATTTTTCCAAGCACCCCTCGCCTCCCCCCACCTGGTGATGCTCTCCCCGGCCCCCTGGGCCGCCTTGGGCCCCCAGGACCTGATGCCTCGCCTCTGTCACACCCCACACAGGAGAGACACCTGAGCGTTTGGAGAGCCGCCTGTCCCCTGTGGCACGGCCTCAGGACCAGCCAGACTCCTGGAACACAGGGGGCTGTGGGCGGTGACGTGATGCACGGCCAGTCAGAGAGGCCGCCGCTCCCTACCGTGGGGATCACGGGCCCTCCAGTGAGATACCCGTTCTGTGCACACATACGTGTGCGGGGAAGGTCGTGCGAAGGCCCTCGGACAAAAATGCCCGCCTCCCGTCACGGTGCTGGAAACACCTGAGTTAGTTCTCTTGATTTTGAGGACTTGATGGCTGCAGTGAAAACAGATATTTTCTGGGCCAAGAACCATGCGGAATGTCTCCCGTTAGCACTTGGCTCCTCAAATTAGCAGGCCCGAGCAGATGAGTCCCAGCGAAGGCACCTCACGGCTCATACGCCAGGAGACGTTGTCAAAACGTGCGAGCATTTGGGCTAAAATGGCCGAGGACTAGAGCATTTTGAGGATAGCCTGGCAGGGGGTCTCCAGCGACGGCCGCTGCTTTTCTCCTCCGTGCTGCATCCGGCCGTGGAGCCGCGGAAGAGACGTTTCCGGACCAGAGTCCGTGAGTGGTGGAACCCTCTGGTGCAGTGGGAGAGTGAATGTCAAGAAAACAGGATTTGGTTCGCTTACTCCCTAAAATCACTGTTACGGATGCCAGCTGTTCAGAGAGGCAGTGTCGTCTGGAGCAGTGAGGAGGGCCCTCCTACAGCAGGGGATGAATGGGGGGCCCGAGGCCCCGGGTCCCTTCCGACCCTGAGACTGGGGACGTTTCCCAGCTCCCTAAACACAGTGCCTGCACCTGTCTGAGCCTCAACACGTTGCCGCGGCAGCCTGTGCCCCCCCCCTCAGCAGGAGCGAGTGTCTCTCGGGGGAGAGACACACGGCCAGGCCCGCTGGAGCGGATGGCGGGTGGGGGGGACCCCCGGCGCCTTGGCGCTCACCCAGCCCCTGGCTCGGCCGTCAAAGCGCAAGCAACATGGCCCACGTGGTATTCCACCCACGTGTCCCGTCTTACCTTCCCGACTCGTTTCATCCTCTGGCCCCAAAACTTACATTGACATTGAGGACGATTTTACATGGCCGGTGACAAGCTTGGGCAGTGTAAGAGTTGTAATGAAAAGGTCCTCCAAACACAGGCTCTCGTCCTGGGCCACGCCTGCACGCACGCACGTGAGCTCGCCTCTCTGCCCTCAGTTCCCCGACTGTAAAACACACACACGGACATGGAGTTTGCTGGGACACAGACCTCTTTGTACGCCAAGCTAGTAGGAACCTCCGTGCAGATGTCCCTTCATTCATGGAAATGGAACCACGTCGGCTCATTCCAAGGCCTCTGGTCCACGCACAGAACGCCCCTTCCTGACAGATTCTCCACCCACCTGGGGTGGAAGCCTGGGGCACAGTCACCCCGCATTTTTACATGGTGACCAGCATCTGTCATATTTCTTAGACTTAATTCACACCTGGCCAACTTAACAATCATGTTGGGAGCTTTGGCGTCTTGATATCTGACACTTTTAAGAATCCAGATGTCAGATATTTTTTGCGTTTTGAGAAGCCTTGCTCGATACATTAGTTTACAGCTGGGCTCTAAGAAATAAAATCTCAAGAACATTCCATTTGTTTGCAAGTTTTCCTCTGCCAACTGGTGGACCCCAAATGGAGGTGATGACTGTATCCCCCAAGAGTGGAGTTTGTCACAACGCTTCCCACTAGGAGCCGCTGGTTTCTGAGTGATATTGGTAAAGAGAATAACCATAATAATGATCAAGGTCATTGCTTTGTGAAGTGAACAGCTATCGGTAATACTGAAACACCAGATAGGCTTTGATGACACTGAGGGAAAACCTTATTACAGCTCTGATTAACTGTAATCTGATGTGACCTACAGAGAGATCGTCTGTGGAAATCACGTGTCCTTCAGACACATGCACTTTAGGCTAAGTCCACCTGCACCAGTTACTAAGATACGACCCTGAAAACACTGCTTGTCTGTTCCAGCCTGCTTCCTGTCTTGAAAAAACGTGGGGTCAACACCATCACAGACATCGGTAAGCTTTAAAGGGCTTAACAAATGTAGAGTTCCAAGCTCCGTAACTGGCACATCCTGGCACACCCAGAGGATTAATTCCCCGTCCTCTACGCCAAACACGGAGAAGCCTTTACAAAAGCAAAGTTTGAGCACGCTTATTGCGCACAGCTCCAAAGAAATGTCCCCTCCAAAAGTAGGTGGTGATACTGATCTTACGGGGGCCTCGCCATCTGTGTCCAGAGCCATCAGGGAAAAGTGAAGGGGAACCAGGCGCCTTGTGCTGGATGGAGCTCCTGTGGGGTCATCTGGGTGGGGGATGGAGTATTCGGAGGGGCCAGTGCGTCTTGGCGGGTGAGGACTGCGGAATCGCCATACCTCGGTTTGAGGACGAATTCTGCCACTAACTAGCTGATAGTCTCGGGCAAATCACCGAGCTGCGCCCACGCCTGAATCTTCTCATAGGATTTGTGAAAGGATTACATCAGTGTAAGCGTGGATAGTGCTTGGAGGGAACTTGCTAAGATCTCGTTAACACTAGCTGTGTGTCCATTCAGGCGTCGGGAGGCTCCAGCCACCCGCCTGTTTATATAAAGTTCCTGGAGCACAGCCCTGTTCATTTGTTTACATGTGTCCCCGACAGTTTTCACAGCACAACACAAGAACTGACACTTTGAGATCACGTGCCCACAAACCTAGGATGTTGGATATCTGGCCCTTTACTGAAAAAGTTTGCTGCTCCCTTGAGGTGGTTAATTTCATATGTCAACTTGACCGGACCGAGGGTGTCCAGATACTTGGTCAAACGTTATTCTGGATGTTTCTACAAGGGGACCGGGGATGAGATTAACATTTAAATTGATGGAATGAGTAAATCAGATTGCTTTCCCCAGTGTGGGTGGGCCTCATCCAATCAGTTGAGGAACTGCTTAGAAGAAAAAGATGAGCCCTCCCCACGACTGAGAGAGAACTCTCCAGCAGATGTCTCTAGACTTCATCTGTCACATCGGCTCTGCCTGGGCCTCCAGCCTGCTGGCCCAGTCTGCACGTGGGACCCGCCAGCCTCCGTAACTTGTGTGTGCCAATTCCATATATACATACCTCGTTGGGTTTGTTTCTCTGGAGAACCTGTCCTCAATCTATCATGCCTTAAGTCTCCATTCACAGGGAGGGCTCAGGATGTGGGAGCACAGCCCTGAGATTGTCATCAAGGATCTCTTGTCTTTCAGGACCCCCCGGCCAAGGAGACCCGAGGCCACTCCCGTCCCAAAGGATGGAATCCCAGCTGGGCGGGACTCATGGGTGGTGGGGGAGGGGCTTCTGTTTGTCCCCACACGTGACCTAGATACCAAGGACATGATACCCTTCAGATCCCACCTGCTCTCCCTTTCAGTCTTTGGAGCTGGGAATTAAATAAAATTCGAGGCCTCAAATATTCTTAATTAGTTTGTCTAATTATCACATTAACACTTAACTACTTTTTGTAAAAAATATTTTAGTTTTTATCATCTTTTGTGCCATTATTCCAATTAATCGTGTTGGAAAATGCTCAGCCTGAACATCAAAGGATAAGGTGCTACTTTTTGAAGTCGTGTTGTTTGATAACAGAGTCTTCTCAGATTTCAGCATCTGGAAATGGGTCGAACTATAAAAATTTTATGTATTTGCGCGCGGATCACAATATATCTTGTGCACGTAAATGAACAGATGTGACATGTCTGCGCCATCGAATTTCTAGCTGATCTGGAAATACCCATTGATATTTTTCATCATTTCCCTTCAACAAAAGTCCTAAGGTTGTGATTTCACCCGGGCGTCCAGAGATCGCTGGGCGTCCCGAGGTGACGCTAGGAGTGACTTAGTGAACAAACCGCCAGGGCATGGTGGCCCAAGAACAGGTGAGCCTGCACGTGGCAGGACCTGGAGGGCCCACAGGCCAGCGGGACACGGCCCTGGGGTCTCGGGCTGAGGCGACTCAGCCGCCTTCCCCCGTGGCCCCCAAGCTTGCCCGCGCCCCGTCTCCACGGCAGCGGGAGGGTGGGGGCGTGGGGGGCCCAGAGCGGCTCGCATTCCATGAGCCAACAGGAAGTCAGACCGTGTCACCTCGCTGCAGGAGAGGCTGGGAGGCCCGGTGCGGTTGAGCCCGGGGGGGAAGACAGCATGAGGGCTGGCGAACAGCCGGGAATCTCTGCCAGGGCTGCTGAGCCAAACTGGGGAGACAGAGTCTCCCTTTCATCTGATGAGAGGAGGAAAGGAGTGTTTCCATGGTGCGGAGAAGATCGTGCCGAATGTTCAAGCGGGCCCCCGAGACAGGTATGTCAACATCAGCACCTGGCCGGCGGTGAAGCTGGGGGCGGCCTGAGTGAGTGTAGGGGCCCCACAACACTTCGAGGTGTCGCCGCAGGAAGTGATGACGCTAAAAGTCCTGGATCAAAGTCACACGTGTGCTCATTCAGGCGTGGACAGGCGACTTGAGTGTGCGACACGGCTCTGGGTGGCAGAGATGGAGCACGACCCCCTGTCTTCTCTCCTCGGGGAGGAGGACAGTGCGGAGAGGTGACCCCCAGGCCCGCGGCGAGCCGGGCACGCCAGGCACCTGCAAGGTACCCGGGCTCAGGGGCGAGTCGGACTTGGTGAGCAGGAGGCGGGAGGAAAGGGGACACGTGAGGCCAAAGGGCCTGGGCCTGAGTCCCGCCTCTGCCCCTCGTTTCTTGTGTCACGTGTTCACTCCACAAGCTTCTGTCGTGACACACACACCACGCTCGCAGAAGTGAGGTCGAGACCCCCGTCCTCTTGAGCTTCTGTCGCAGCAGGAAGACAGACGGCAACAAAGTAAACGGGAGACACCAGACTACCTGTCTGCTGGAGGAGAGGCCCAGGGTACTGACAGGGAGCCCGCTTCGCGAGCGAGCGTCGTCTCTGCCAGCCCGGCACGAGCTCCTCCCTCGCCTCCTTTCCCTGCACACGCGCACTCTCCCCGCACTCAGGCCATGCACGTCCCGGCACCGACCCGTCAGAGCTCTCATCCGAGGGGCTCAACTCCAGGACAACGCAGGCCACGGCCAGGCCACGGCAGTCCCAGCTGGGACCTTTCCCTAGGACGCCGGGGAAGCATTTCTTTCTACCCCAGTTGCTAAGCAAACCTGCAGCTTGCGGACAGCCACCTGTCCCGAGCGCATGGAGAAAGTCCCTGCCCCAGGAGGAAGCCAGGCCGGGCCAAGAGGTCAGATGACGAGTGTCTCCATGGGGCTGTGCTGACCCCAACCCATCTACCGCTCCCCAGTCACGGGGGCCCACGAATTCCCATTTTCCTTAAGCCACTTTGGGTTGTGGCTTTATAATTTGCAAGCAAGAAGCTTCTAATCTAGCCAAGGGGAAGGAGATTGGCAAACGGTGGAGACAAATGAGAATACCCTGGTCAGGGACGGCCTCTGGGAGGGGACATTTGCTCTGAGGGACACTGGTAACAGTGGGACAGCCACGTGCCGAGCTGGAAAGAGAAAGTTCCAGCGAGGATCCCCAGCAGCAAGCCCGGGAATTAGGAGAAAGCTGGGCACGTGGGGGGCAGAAGCGAGCCCAGCAGTGAGCAAGGAGCCGGAGGAAGCAGGCAGGGGCTCCCGCTTCACCCTGGGGACGGAAGACAGGCACCCAGGAGCCACAGGCCCAGAGGCTCATTGACACCATCGAAGCATCACGGTGACAGGGACAGGGGCAGGGACAGGGGCACTGCCTCCCAGACGGGATAGCCACTGCGCGAGGGCTGACCCCAGCTTGGCCAGGGACCGGGCGTGGTGGGCACCCTGGGGACAGATGCGGAGCCCGCAGACCAGCCCCTCCCTTCTGTAAGACCCACTTTGTTACAGACTGTCTGTCCTCAGTTCCTGGGACTTCCTTCCAACGGTCTTGGTAGCTGCCGCGGTTCTCATTCAAGAATCTCACACCTGATTCCGAAAACAAAATAATAAACACGCACCAAAGCTTTGCAGAAGCGTTATACTTAACCAAGTGGTTTCCCTTTATAGATTTCTTAAAACTTTTCAGGGGGGCGCCTGGGTGGCTCTGTCCGTTGGGCGTCCAACTTCGGCTCAGGTCATGATCTCGCGGTCCGTGAGTTCGAGCCCCACGTCGGGCTCTGGGCTGATGGCTCAGAGCCTGGAGCCTGTTTCCGATTCTGTGTCTCCCTCTCTCTCTGCCCCTCGCCCGTTCATGCTGTCTCTCCCTGTCTCAAAAATAAATAAACGTTAAAAAAAATTTTTTTTTAACTTTTCAGGGATTTCTTTTTTTAAGTTCTTTTGTAATTAAAAAAAAAAAAAAAAAGCTATTTTTAACCGAATGTAAATACTGGTCATTTTTGTTGGTTCAGAGAGAATTTTTCTGAACGGGTCACAATGATTTTCCCAGAGAAG